TCCGCCTCTCCGAGAGGGAGCAGCTAGAGCCGTGGGAGAATTCTTCCAGCCACCTGGCAGTGCCCGCACTGGGGTTTCAGTGCACGCCGGCCAAGCCGTGTTCCCCCCAGGACGGTGTCGCTAAACCGACCCAATTCTGCAGAGCAGCCCTGGGAAGCGTGCTAGGTCCTGGGCTGCAGAGACAACTCACGTTTTGCTTCTCTCTGCCGCGGGCAGCCCCAAACTCCCCTGGCCCTTTCTGGGGGGCCGAGCTCAGTACTACCCCCGGGCTGCTCTGCGCGGCAAACAGGGCGGCGTAACGCCTCGCGCAGGGCCAGGGGAAACGGCACGCTCCGGGCGACCAAGCGTAGACACGGCTCGAGGACGGAAGAGCAGCTCCAGCACTGGGAGAACCGCGGCGCCGCTGCCGTCGTTCTAGTGTAGACGTAACCCGTGTCGAACTGGCGGCCTGCCCCGCCCACTACGCGCCTCAGCCATTCCTCATCCACCCTCCACCGAGCACCCAGGTTCTCTCCCCCCCCAAGATGTGTCAGCTGCAGGGTTCCCAGGGGATCCTGTTTTACTCCCTACCCACGTCTCCAGGCCCCCTTCGTTCTATCCCATCCGTGCAGCTCTGCCCACATTAGTGTCCCCGGTGAACTGTCTGCCCCCACCCCCGGTCACAACGACTTGACTGACAGCCGCCCAGTAGCCACTGCATCCCACCTCCCCTGTCGACTGTGTGTCCTTATCCTTGCTGAGGGTTTTCAGCTAATCTCCAGGTGTCCTTAGCGGGGCTGGAGGTTGCGGGGCAGACGGGGAGGTCCCAGTGGGTGAGGCTTGCTTAGCTTGGCTGAGCAAATGGTGTGGCCCTGATCTCCCAGATGAGATGTTGAGGTGCGACACTGAGGGTTTGCTTTAGCTGGGGTGGATGTGGGGGGCAGTCCAGGGGAGCCCCTTTCACCAGAAGCCTTTAGGGTGCAATATTTGAGGAGTCCCTTTTGCTAGCTGCAGCTCTGGGTGCAGAACTGGGGGCTCCTTACATAGATCCATTGAAGGGTACAGTATTAGGGGTCGCCAAGGGGGAGGGTTTTGGGGGTCTCTAGCTGGAAGGGTTTTGGGGGGACTGTAATGGGGTCCCTTTGGATAAAATGGATTATGGGGGAGCCAGTATTGAGGTACCATTTACATGGGTGGATTGGGGGCAGTGTTGGGGAGAATGAAGGCATATTGGGAGGTCCCTTTAGCTGAATGGATTTGGGGGGCAATATGGGGGCCCATTTAACCAGGTGGATTTGGGGAGGCAATATTGGGGCTCCCCTTGGATGGGTGGACTTGGGGACAGCATTGGGAGGTCTATTAGTTTGGGTGCATTGGTGTGTCCTTGAGTTGTGTGAACTTGGGGGTAGTATTGGGGGTAGTCCCTTTCACCTGCTAGGCTGTATTAGGCCTTTAACTGGGCAGATTTGGGGGGCGTGTTGGGAGGTCCCTATAACCTGGTGAATTCGGGAGGAGGAGCATTGGGGGTCCCTTTAACCCGATGGATTTGGGGTGTGTTGGGGATCCCTTTAACCTGGTGGATTCGGGGGGCTGCATTGGGGGTCCCTTTAACCAGGTGGATTGAGGGGCATATTGGGAGTCCTTTAACCCGGTGGATTCAGGGTGTGTGTGTTGGGGATCCCTTTAACCCGGTGGATTCAGGGGGCGCGTTGGGGGTCCCTTTAACCCGGTGGATTCAGGGGGC